TTATTTACTTATGTTAATAGATTAGGCTTTAACTTCCACGGGCTTGCCACAGGCAGCTAACTGCATTCCAGATTTCAATTACTGGTGTAACACATTTCTGATGGATTACTGTTGCCTAAAGGTGCTTGCACTTTGCCAAACAGGAGAAAATGCATCATTTACATTTTGTTTCATGTGTATTCATATTTGTTGCCTCCCTAAAATGTAATAATATGTAGTTTCCTTTGTTAAAGGAAACATGTAACCTTTCCCTTGCTTGTGCAAACTGAGAATCCTAATCCTGTTGACATGATGAAATTATTTTGGGGATTATGGGTGGGGAAAGGTTTGTATTTACAGTGATGTTTAAACTTGTTTTAATACTGTCCTTGAAATTAAGTCATGCAAAGTGAATCCTGTGAAAGTCCACAGACAAAGCAGCAACATTGCTATATCCTGGAGTAACTGAAAAATAATAATGAAAGGAAAGGAAAATCAGAAAGTAAGTGCTGCCTGTTACACGTTAAGACAATGGCCTCTTCCACTGTGGTGGCCTGAAACATCTATATACCAAAAAAAGGATAGAATTGCAGTTTCAAATGACTTGGTTGTTGTTAGGAGCATGAATTTAGAAGTTAACTATATTGACTTTCAATGAGGGCTGAAAGTCAACAGAAATGCCATAGCTATTGATTAGTGAGCATCAATTTAGGTCAGTAAGTAAAACACCACACAACATAGACTGCATGGGGAATTTAGGTAGATAGAATCATTGTGGCTAGGATAATAAGAGGTCTTTTTTTCCTACACAAAATGTGAGGCAGCAAGGAAATTGCAGCCAGCTGTATCACTTGTGGAGCTGAACATTTGAATGCCTTTTGGCAGATAATGACCTATTTGTACAATGGAGTGGTCCAGCAAATATCCTGTTGCCCTACTGCGCTAAGAGGGAAGAGGAATATGAAGAGTTGGATATGTTGAATTGAAAATAATTATAAAGGGATTGAGGCTGTTAATGTGTGACCTCCTAGTTAAATATAATATTTTATGAGTTTCTTATGTAATCTTATAAATTGGAAAGGAAAATGAATATATTTTAATTTATTGACTGTATCTTACTCCCCACATTTGAATTACAACATTTGCTTTTTATAATCTGTTTTATTTAACAAGGTTTTTCTTTTATTCATTTATTTTACAGGATGTGATTGGCGGAACTCTGATATCGGCAGTGTTACTTGCACTCTCATATCCTGCATGGGACCTCATAGACCACTTTCTATTAACTAGTCCATTTTGCCCTGTATTTTCCATAGTTGTGCCCCTCCTTTTATGTTACAACTATCCAAAACTAGACTGTTACAGCCCTACCAGAGGAGACACAACCACTATCTTAGGAGCTGGAGCTGGAGCTATCATAGGATTCTGGTTAACTAACCAGTACGCACCATTGAACTCTTCCAGTGAAACTTTTCAACTCAGCTTTCCTCCAATCTCCAGTAAAAGGCTGATGGTCATGCTGGCAAGGTTCTTAGTTGGGGTCTTTGTTCTTTTGATCACACGTCAATTCATCAGGAGGCTGGCCCTCAGTGTGTTATACTACTGGTACAAAGTTTCCACCAGTGATGAAGAAGCCAGAAAACGACTGGAAATTGAAGTACCCTACAAATTTATAACTTATTCTTCGGTTGGTTTCTGTGCTACCGTGATTGTGCCAGTACTGCATGGGCTTTTAGAATTAATTTAAGTGCTGTGCATTTTTTGAAATAATATATGGCAACATCCACTTTAGACATGCAATAAAACCGCAGGCTGAACACTTGACCAAGCAGTTTTTTGTGCCTTTCTGCACTGGCCTAAAATGCCTATTCCAGAAGATCCAAGGAAATCACCATATGCAAATAACTTAGGGTTGGAAATTCCTAGCTCTTGGGTGCTCCAGGCAAACACCTGTGATTCAGAAGATACATGAAAATAAGTACAGAGTACAAAAATAAGAACTGATGTTTATATGACTGCTGTTTACCTTCAGAAAAATTCAGTGTTTAGCCAGTGGTCACTTGTACTAGAATGCCTGTCCGTGTGGCCAGATTAAATCTGTCCTTTACTCCCCAGGGCCAGCATTTTGGAATGGTCATGAAGGTGATGCTCACACATCTAGAAGTTTGGGATCTTTTAAATTTCTTCTACTTCCAAACCAGGGATTCGGCCTGTGTGGTCTCTGTTAGAAGCAGTTGTGAGGTCTTGAGGGTCACCCAGGAGAGTGAATAGAAACAGCTCTGCACCAGCTAGGAATTCAGATTGGTGTAAGTAGTGATACACCTTGCTGTTTGTTTGTTTAAAGTTGTGTGTGTGTGGTGTGTTGTTAGGTGGAAAGTAGGGTGATTCAGTCAGGGATGATCCTGCCTTGAACAGGGCATTGAACGAAATGACCTCATGGGGTGTGTCCAGATGTGCGTGGATGTTTGGTTCCCCCGGGACAACTAGCAATGGCACACCTGGTGCCACAGCTACTTGTCCTCAGGGAACACCGGTTCCATGAGTGCTTTGTTGTGTGGCAGGTTACCCTGGGGGCAGTAGGGGAGGCTGGGGCCAGCACTGTGCTGGCCCCAGAAGCCTTAGCTGGGGTTCTGGGGCTGCAGCCACGGTGATCCTGCTGGGCAGAGCCTGGCTGGCAGCTGCTGCGTCGCTCAGGGCAGCCCAGCTCTGTTTTTCAGCAGCATGCGCTGCCTGAGCATGCACTGTTCTGTTTTTTCCACAGTTTTTTTTGACCCCTGGATATCCAGGGGTCAAAAAACCTGCAGGGGAAAAAAAAAAAGGAGCAGTGCACACTTGGGCAGTGTGGAGAACACTGGACTGTGCAATATGTGGCGCTGCAACTGTGTTTGTGGCACCACATACCACACCACTGCGCTTGTCTGGACGCACCCATGATGTCTTTTCCAGCCCTACTTTCCTGTGATCCTAACGTCTAAGATGGCCCCAGCTGTGGGGAACAGGCTGCCAGCCTCACTTTAATGATTCACTCAAAAAGCTCAGTATTAAGATCTCTCCAGAGATTGGGGAGAAAGACCAAGGGAGACCTTAGGTAGTTAAGGATGACCAGAAAAGCACAAACCTGGCCAAGTATGGAGGCAGCCTTAACCAAAAAAAACCCACCCCAACACTTTTCAAAGCTGTAAGGCCTGATCAAGGGGTACTTAAGAACTGTTACTGATTTCAGCAAGGGTGTTCTGCTGACTAAGATGACAGACTCCCAGGAGAGATACCGCTGGATATTAATATGCACCAAAATATTGAGCTCTTGTGAGGGCATGTGTGCATGTGCCTTACCTGTAGACTGCTCTTTATTCTTAAAAGTTGAATCTGATGAAGGTTTTTATATTTGCTACTTGATGTACTGCCTTGAGTGCACAGTCAGACTTCACTTGTAATTCTCTACATGTAGGACTTGCTTTGCCTATTAGAATTCTTCAGAAAATTACCTTTATTTTTTTAAGTTTTATGCCAGAAATCTGTCATGCTTATTTCTGCAAATTTAAAGGGAGAGTGTACTAATAGTGGTGGGATCATGGGGTTGGTTCTCCTAAATTAAAATCCCAGCTCATGGATGTCTTGTCTGGCCTTGGGCAAGTCATTTACTCCCTGTAAAAGTAGGACAATGGTTTTCACCTAGCTACCCTATGGAGCTGCTGTCATGATTAATTAGTGTTCTTAAATAACATTTTAAAAAGTGTTCGGGATTAGTGTTCAAGTGACTAAGAAATATATTGATATAATGCCATAATTTTCTGGTGATTTGTTTGCCATGTATCTTGCAATAATTCATGTAATCCCAGAGAATAATAGATCAGAATTGTATTAATAGATAAGAATTGCTGCTATGACTCCGATTTTCAGGTAACTAAAAAATTATTAGCAATTGGGCCAATGAGTTGCTAGCAAGTGCAGCTATGAGTATGGCTCTATAAATTAAAAAAAAAAGATGCCAGTCTATACATTGTACTGTTGCAATGATAGCTAAAGGCATGGTCAAAAGGCCTTTTCCTAGGGAGCTTACATTAAAAGGATTCTTCACTGTTTCCTCTTGTCCACTGCTTTTTAACATTTAGGTGTGTTTGAGCTCTTTTGTTATGAAAATGCTAATTTATTCTTCTGTAAAAAGAATGTATTTGACCAGAATTAAGTATGAAAATATAAGTGAGCAGCATTGCCACTTGGTTGATTATTTTTATAGGCTTTGCCCAGATATCCAGCAGAAGAGTCTTATTTTAAAAATGGTTAATGACTATATATGAGGAGGCAAGCTGGAGTTTTAAATGGTACACATTTTTTTTTGAAATAGTAAAGGCTGTGGTTCAGCTTAATGTCAATTAAGGTGCGTGTATATCATGTTTACATGTTAACTGCATTCTAAATTACGGGATGCGTACACACTTTAAACATACTGTAATAGCACAAGAAGTGCTGTGGTAAATACCTTCTTAAAACCCTTTCCAGCAGAGGTGCTTTCTAATATACGGCTCTATGAAAGCAGAAGCTCTGAAGCCCTGTGGAGGCATCAGTTCATATTATAGCAGAGGGGCTAAACCTGGGAAAGGTAATACTAAGAGGAGGATTTCTTAGCCACTGAATCAGCTCAACTCAAAACGTGGCTTGAAATTTGGCTGGGACTTGCATGCAGTTTTACTAATTAAATTGTTCTTCTGATTCACAGTCATTTTGTAGTCATCTCCCCCAACTTCTCATTGTACAGTAGCCATTGGCCATAAGCTGCAAAGCTGTGAGGCTTATTGCTGACTAGAATCAGAAGCAATTAACTTCCATTTTTTCTCTTCCTGTAATATAAAGTTTGGATTCTCATTTCTTCTTATGTTGAGAAGGGTGTTGAGCCAGTGACAATATTCCTGTGCTACAAGTGTGTATCTTTACTTGTTCTGTCACTTAATAAAGAAGAAAACTTCTGTGCTTCAGTGTCTAATGTCTATATCCCATGACTTGTAGCATGAGTATTGCTCTGGCACAACCTAAGAGGCCAAGAAACAGTCAAGATAATACAGTCATTCATTGTTTAAAAAAAAAAGGGGGTGTGTGTTGGGGGGAGAGATGTTAAGTAAT